TTGCTGCGGGACACTAATAAAGTTGCTTTTACCAGCTGGTGCATTGTGGTGTGTGAATGGAGCCGGCTCGGCCCCCCTCCCCCCCCCGCCATTCACATGCAAATGAGCTCTGTACTCATTTCTCCTAATTGCTCCGCATCCGCCTTGGGCTCCAGCGGCAGCACCGAGCCCTGTTTGCTCAGGCTGTAATTTAGACTGTACGTTATTTGCGAGAGCCGTAGCTACAAGGTATAATTTCGCTGTCTTATTTAAATTTTAGGGATTTCGGTGTGTTTTACGCTCCCCACTGAAGCCCAGCACCGGGGAGGAGGCGCCGGGTCACGGCCCCTTTGAGGCTGCTGGAAAAAGCTCCCATGGAAATGGAAACAGCCGCTTCTGCAGTTCGTGTTTTCAAACCCCATCTACGTTTTAGAGCTGATCCTTGGCAGCCCAACGTTATAATTTTATTTATTTTCATCAGCTTATAATTTACTTATATCAAGGTTATTGCCGTCATGTTACCAAAACGCTGATCAGAATTAAGCTAAATAGTCCTCGGGATATTTTTGCTGAATTTATTATGTTTTCAAGCTTTTTTGGCCTCTGGAGCACAGACACAAACCAGCTGCGTTACGCGCTCCGTTCCCTACACCTTGAACACCCGAGCAGGCGCCGCCTCGGGGTGCTCCTCCCGCTCACACACAAGCTTTGGTGAAGCAGATAATGAAGCAGATCTTGTTTTATACATAATTATTAACTGCTTTTATACAATATGATCTTTTTTTCCTCTCCTGGCATTAATATAATCATCGCCAAGGCTTCACTCCCTGGGCTGGTCGGAGGCTCTTCAAAACGCATCACCCCCGAATGCCGACTGTTAACGGGCTCTAAAACCCAACCCGTGTATTAAGATGTGCAGCCAAATTTATGCACATTGAGCTTTTAAATAAATATTAGTTTATTTTATGCTACAAACTTCGAGCATCGAGTCGGCAGCAAATGGGGATCTGGTCCCACGGAAGGGACAGTGGTTTTGAGGGGGGTGAGGCCGAGAGCCCCCTCTCACCGAGCTCTGGTTTAGCCAAAAATTGCTCCTCCCCGGAGCGTCACACTGGGGTTTCAGGGGGGGCATCAGGGTAAATCATCAATGGCTGCAGCTTCTCTAATTGCTGTGTTTTAGGAATGAATCACAGAGTGGTTTGGGTTGGAAGGGACCTTAAAGATCATCAAGTTCCACCCCAGCCCTGGTCAAGGACACCTCCACTAGAATCCATTTCCAGGGAGGAAGCAAAACGCCGTGTCCCCCCGGGAGCAGAGGGAGGGCTGAGGGTCGTTAAATGCCATTTTTCAGTCCCTGTGCTGTGGTGGGAGCACCAGGGAGGTGGGTATTGGTCCTTGTGCTGCTTCTGGTGGGAGGTGTCCCTACCCAGGGTTGGGGATGGAACTGGAGGGTCTTCAAGGACCCTTCCGACCCAAACCATCCCATGATCTGAAGATGCTGCCACAGGCGCTGCCTGAGCACAGCTCGGCTCCAGAGCCGGGGTGATTCCTGCAGCCCCTCTTGATGGATGGGCTCCACCAGTGACGTGGGGGGACTGGGTTCAGTGGGGAGAGGCCTCACCAGGACCCTCGGTAGCTCAGAGGAGCCTGGTGCCAGAGCAGCACCAGCCTCAGCTCGGCCCCGAGACCCCCAGAGCCGGGGTAAGGGGGCTGTGCTTTGAAACAGCTTTAAGACACACGTGAAGGGGCTGATCCCAGGGGTTTTGGGGGATTTCAGGCTCCATCAAACCCTCCCATGTGGAAGCGGCGGCGACACGGGGCAGTGGGGGGGGCGGGGGGGGTCCGGACGCCCGCGAAGCTGTAACTGTATTAGAGAGCCAATTGAAAAGAATTACAGTAATTACTGCTTGATGTAATTAAGCGGCGGGGAAGGGCTCGCGCAGTCAGTCTCCGCTGGGGCTGCTGGAGGGGACGCTCTGCCGGGAGGGAGAAAAGCCATGGGGATACCGGGGGTCGGGGGGGGGCTCCAGCCACATTCCCCGATGGTGGGCGATGAGTGGGGGCTCCCCCCGCCCTCCCCGGCAGCTCCGCGTCGCTCCCCCCGCAACGGGGAGAAGGAATCACCGGGATCTGGGGGCTGGGGACAGAGGGGACCCGTGGGGAGGAACGTGGGACCTCCCCACGGCAGTGGGTGCAGCTGCTCCCTGCCCGAAACGCACCGGAACAGCCACAGGAGAGGAGGGGTTTGGGGTTTTTGTGGTGCCGTGGGGTGGCAGCGCCCGGGGAGGCTCAGCCCCACAGCTCTCCTGACCCGGCTGCACAGGGACACGCGGGGGGAAGAACCCACATCATCTTCTGGAGGAATTAGTGGAACCAAACCCCCTCCCATCGCCTCAGTCCAACTTCCCGAAACGTCTCTTAATCGCCCCACGCTGAATTTACGCGGCTTTAATTGCATCCGCAGCCCTGGCACCCAGCTCTTTGCCATTTTGTGCCCGCCCTTGGCCCAGCCCAGCTCTGCCACTGCCCGGCCCCAGGGGCTCCCCTGGCTCTGGGGGGGGGATCCCAGTGGGTGCAGGGCTGGGGTGGGGGTCACAGCACCCCGAGCTGCAGTTTCTAACAGCGGGACGGGCAGCAAAGCACAGGCACCCGGATCACAAACTGAGGTGGCCAAACCTCAAATACTCAGTTATTTGGGAGGCCAGAGCGGGTGGTGATGGGCGGGGGGTTCAAACTCCCAACAAATGGGTGGGGAGGAAAAAAAAACCTCAAAACCCCATTAATGGGCATCAGCTGCTCCAGCACCAAATGTTTCCCTGCGCTGTGCAGTTTGGAGGCTGATGAGCCTCCCCTGCCCCTTGCCCCCTCGCTGTGTGCGGGGATTTGGGGCTGGGGGATCTCACGGAGCCGCCTGCTCCCTCTGGGGAGCCCTGACCAGGGTCTCCATCTGCCCCGGGACCCCCCAGCACCAGGACCCCCCTCCGGTCCCCCCAAGCTCCAGGCCTTTTTAAGACTTTTAGGATTAGAGAGTAGGGTTTGACTTTGGGGGTTCAACAGGGAGGGTTGGTCCAGCCCCATTGCTGCTGCTGCTCAGCCCTTAAATAGGTGTTAAACCTGCCCCGACTCGTTAAATCCAGCTGTGAAACCGCGGCGGGGCCGGGCAGCGCTGGAGAAGCCCCTGCTCCAGGAGAACAGGTCCAGGGCTCCAGGAGAAACCCCCAGCTCCAGGGATGGTGGAGACCAGCATCGCCCAGGGGGCTCAGGCTTCGTGCAGAACAGCCTCCTCCCAAGCTCACCCTGCCCATTGCATCAGATATAAATATATATATATCTATATATTTAACCTACAAAGCAAACCCTGGCTGGGAAATGCATTTCAGGAAAAAGAAAAAAAAAAAAGCAAGCTCATTTTTAATCCCAGGAAAACAACCTGCCTCAAAACCCAAACAGAGAAGGCCAAAAGAAAAATAATCAATATTTATAATTAGCCCCACTACTTAGCAGTGACAACTGAGGCGCTGCAAACAGGAGCCAGAACAGGAGCCCCGGGCAGGGCCAACGGCGCCCGCGCTGGGGGTGCCCCATGGGGACAAATCACAGCCCCGGTGGCAAACGCCCTTGAGGCTGCGCTGGCCCCAGCTCAGGGCTGGGGGGACGGGCCCAAAAACCCACCCGGGAAGAGGGGTCAGTGGGAAAACTGCTGGAAGCCACCTGAGCTGGTGGCCAGCACCGGGCTGCCACCCCATTTCAGAGCTGTAGGAAAACCACCACCACGGGTGGAAAACCACCAAGACGCGTGTGACCCCATTTTTGCAGACCCCAAACCCTGGCGGGGGTGACCTCCGCTGGCAGCTGCCCTGGGACATGGGGGGTGGGAGGTCCCCACCACAGGGGAACAGCACCTGCACCAGCAGCTGGGGGTGGTCCCCAGGCAGGACACTCGTCACCCCGGCTGTGTTGGCCATGAGAAGATAAAAGCCTGGTGTGAAAGGGTCTCCTCATACACATGGGACGAGGAGAGGACAGCAGGGTGGACAGCAGAGCTCTTCCTCCTCTTCCTCTCCTCTTCTATTCAATCATTGGCCATCACCCAACCTTTGGTGCCTCGCCTGAGGAAGGACAATGTGTGGAGACAGAATCAGCCCCACGAGACAGAGCAGAACACCTTCCCCAATGGACCATCCAGCGTGAAGAGGACCTCAAATAGGGGAAGGGGGCCTGAGCCTAGAGGAAAGAGAGCAGAAGCTGCACCTGGAAGAGGTATGTGACAGGACACACCCAGCCCAGCACAGAAAGGAGAGGGTGCTGTACATCATGGATGAAAGATCTATGGTTGGCCACCTTCAGGCCCTAGACATCATCACCCTTGAAGCCATCTCCAAGGGCAAGAATCCACAAGCAAGTCTCAATGGTTTGTGAGCCAAAGTGTGTCTCACCAGGCAGTTAGTTGGCCCCTGTGATGGCAGGAGTGGTCCTGTGGCTGTACCACCCCAGGGCTCAGATGTTTTGACCCCCAGACCACTGGGAGGTGGGTGGCCTCCAAGCAGAGGGGGAAGCAGAAGTACTGCCATGGTGGAGCTACATGACCTACAAGAGGGTGGACCTGGGCTTCTTGGAGGTGGTCACAGTCACACTGATTTGACCGAGGGACAGTCCTCCTCTGAGTGAAGGCTGGATGAGACCTCCAGAGAGCTCCTCCAACCAGCGTTTCCAGGAGACAATGCTCAGATCTCCTGCACGAGCACAGACGATCCAAAGGCAAATGGTGCCATCCAAGCGCTCAGACACGTCCCACAGAGGCAAAGAGAAGATCAGAGACACCACGGGGCATCGCTGTGGCAACAAACACTTCCCTGGGCACAGTGGAGATTGTCCCACGTCCCTCAGCCCGTCCCACCCCAATTAATCCCACGGACGGACTGGGAACACTCAGAAGGTACCACAGCTGGAGGCAACATGAGCTGAGACTCTGCCTTGTTGTCCCTCCGAGGCACAGCCCCGTTTCTCCAGCAGCACCCACGCAAAAGGAAACGTGTCCCCAGATGGGGATGTTTAATGAGGAAGCTGTCGGCACCCTCGCCCAGCGGCGGGGTCTCACTCAGCCCCACAGTTTATTCACAAGTGCGTTTACACCGGTGCCACCAAAACTCAGGCTGCTGCCCAGAACCACCTGGCATCGAGCCCAACCGACACCTCCTTTCACCTCAATTCCCGAATGATGGTGTTTACGGAGCCGAGGAGCTCCTGGAAGTAGCCATCTTTGTCACCCTCCCGCTGCTCCTCCGCCGCCAGCTCCTCGTACTCGCTGCGCAGGAGGCTGAGGGTGGTGCTGAGGGCCTGGTCCCCCCGGTAGCGCTCCTTGCAGAAGGCCATCAGCACGCCCACCGTCTTGAGGACCTTCTCCCGCGTGTCGTGCTCCGGCATGGCCAGCAGGTTGGAAACCACCACGCACCAGTCCTGCTCCACCACCGCCGGGACCAGCTTGACTTGCCGGTACTGCTGGATTTTCTCTTCTGGTTGATCTCCGTGCTGGGAGTCCTCCAGCAGCATCTGTGGGAAGTGGTGGGACCTCAATTAACATCCCTATTGGAGAGCAACCACTTCCAGGTGACACATCATGGGACAACAGGATGTATGTCATTTGGAAGGTGACTTGCAACGGAAAACCAAGACAAGGTGGCGTCCTGGTTCCCTGCTGCCCATGCGTGAAGTTGGCCACAGGGAGCAATCCTGGAAAACTCTTGGTGACCAAGAGGTTTGGCATCACACAGCCCTGAAAGGGGGAAGAAGTTCAGCAGAAGACCCAAAATCTGTTGCTTTGGGCTCCTGGACAGGTTCCTTCAGCACCTAACGAACACCACCTTGGCTCCATGGATCTCTGGAAACCATCTAGTCCAACCCCTGCCAAAGCAGGGTCATCCATAGAAGGTTGGACAGTATCGTGTCCAGGTGGGTTTGAATGTCTCCAGAGAAGGAGACTCCACCACCTCTCTGGGCAGCCTCTTCCAGGGCTCTGCCACCCTCACACTTCTGTTCCTCCTCATATTCAGATGGAATTTCCCATGTCCCAGTTTGTGCCCGTTGTCCCTTGTCCTGTCCCCGGGCACCACTGAGAAGAGTCTGGCCCCATCCTCTTGCCACCCACCCTTTAGCTATTGCTCAGCATCGATGAGATCCCCTCTCAGCCTTCTCTCCAGCTGAACAGCCCCAGGTCCCTCAGCCTTTCCTCAGCAGAGAGGTGCTCCAGTCCCTTCATCATCTTTGTAGCCTCTGCTGTCCCCTCTCCAGCAGTTCCCTGTCCTTCTGGAACTGGGGAGCCCAGAACTGGACCCAGTGCTCCAGATGGGGCCTCCCCAGGGGGTGCTGGGGTGTAGCAGAGGGGGAGGATGACCTCTGTTGCCCTGCACCCACGTTCTTTTCCATGCCCCCCAGGAGACCACGTGGGAGCAGATGGAGAGGAGCGCTGCACGTTGGAGCCAGCACCCGGTAACATTTCAGACCCACTAAAATAATTTGCACCTTTACAAAGTCTCCTGGAAAACAACTGTTTTTAAAAAGCAGCCGTTGCTGCGCCGTGCCCGAAACCCAGGTATTACAGCAGCAATAATCTGCGGGGCAAATTGGCTATAAACCGAGTGAAAGTGGATTTAATTCCCATTCTCTGGAGTGAGGGAAACGCAGAGACTAAACAAGAAGCGATGGGAAGGAAAGAGGGGTTTTACACTGACATTTAGGGCAGCAATCCAAGGTATTGGAAAATAAAGCACTCCAGGTTGTGGGCTCTGCTCCAGCGAGGGCCGTGCAGGGAGGGAAGGGCCTCTCCAGCCGCCACGGCTGGTCCCCCGGCGCTTGGCTGGTGGCTGGTGGCTGGTGTCCTTGCCATTCTGTTATTGCAACACCCTCGGGTGGAAACGGCGATGATGGTTTAATGAAAAATAAAGTTCTAAGCTCAGTTTGGGCTCTCCCAGGCACCAGCATCCCGTGGGCTGGAGGAAACTCACCTCAACAGCACGGACCAGCACCGATGCTGGATGGGTCCCTCATCCTGTGAGGATGCCCAAGGACAACGTCTCTCCACCTTCAAACCCTTTGTTTTGGAGAGGGGATGAAGGTGGAGAGAAGCCTGGTCAGGTCTCACCCCCTCCCTCCCGGTTCCTCACCTTCTCCATGATGAGGTCATAGAGGAGCGTCACCACACGGACGTAGAGGGTCTCCATCCCCTTCTGCCTGAAGAGGCTCCTGAGGACCTGGAGGCCGCCCAGCTTGAGGAACTGCTGCTGGGCATAGGGGAAGTGTCTCAGCATGGAGGACAGCGCGAAGAGAGCCTGGTGGGGAGAGAGGTCCATCAGCATGGTGGCCATGGCCACCACCTCTTCGTGGCATCCCATGGGGACAAGAGAAATGCTCCATTAGTGTGGAGCTCCCCAGCATGTGTATTCAAACCTCTCCTTGCTAAGGGGCATCTCTGTGAGCCCTCTTATCTCCTGACCCCAACCCTCCCCAGCACTGTGAGGTTGCCGAACTTGGGCGACTTCAACCCAACTCCAACCCGGACTATGTTCACTAGAACAATAGCTCAGAGGGACCTGTGGCCAGCACCTGAACAGACCCAGTGCCATCACTTCTCCTTACAGTTCCCACCCACTGGTCCTCGGTACAGAGCCCAACCATGGGCTTAAGGACGGGGCAAAGTGGGGCCCAGCACCGCTCAGATCCCCTTGAGATGATGTGAACACACAGAATCACATGGGGTTGGAAGGGACCTCTGAAGATCATCCAGTCCAACCCCCTGCCAGAGCAGGTCCACCCAGAGCAGGTTGCACAGGAACGTGTCCAGGTGGGTTTTGAATGTCTCCAGAGAAGGAGACTCCACCACCTCCCTGGGCAGCCTACACAACACCTGGGGAACATCCTCTCCCTTGCACCCACGCAGCTGGAGGACAAGACCATGTTGTTTCCCAGGACACAGCCCCAGAAGAGGGTCTGTGAAGGTGCAGTGAGAGACACCAGCATGCCTGCCCCTGGGCCCCGGGCACCACGGGGTTAACAACCAGGAGACAACGAGGGGCCAACCACAGAATTTTACACTTGTCTGCTTTTGCGGAGGCTGGTTTGCAGAGGTGATGGGCTGATGCTGCCCGGGGCAGAGCTGCTGCCCGAGTGGGGACCGGGATGCCCAGCCGGCTCCCCCGCACACAGAGGTGGCCCACGCGTCCCCAGCTCTGCCTGGACAGATCCGAGCTGACAGCCACGTCCTCCCCACTCCCATTTGTTTCTATTTTTCCATCTTCCCAGTTGCCGCCGGTGAATGGGAAGATGTTTCTGGCTCCTGTTTTAACCCCGGGCCGAAGGAGGGGGAGGGGAGGAATGCCCTTTTGGCCTCGCTGCCGCGCATCGCTGCGAGCACCGGGGCGGAAAACCCACCCGAGCGGGAGTCACGGGCTGCTGCCCCCCATGGCAATGGGCTGGGACACCAACCCTGGGATGGGAGACCATACACAGCATGAACTGGGAATTAAAACCCTCTCTCCTCCTGGAAAAGGGGGTTCAGCCTGCGGAGGCTCTCGGAAGGCTGGGTAAATACAGACAGTACTGAGCTCATCCCTCTCGCTCTTCTCCAGGGGATGTCAGAGAATCATAGAACGGTTTGGGTTGGCAGGGACCTCAAAGATCATCCAGTTCCAACCCCCCTGCCCTGGGCAGGGACACCTCCCACCAGACCAGGTTGCTCCAAGACCCCTCCAACCTGCCCTTGAACCCCTCCAGGGATGGGGCAGCCACACCTTCCCTGGGCAACCTGTTCCAGTGTCTCACCACCCTCAGAGTAAAAAAATTTCTTCCCGAGATCTAATCTGAATCTTTTTTCTTCCAATTTAAAACCGTTTCCCCTTGTCCTATCACTACACCTCCTGGCAAAGAGTCCCTCCCCAGCTCTTCTATAGGCTCCCCTCAGAGGGAACCGTTCAGGCTGGCTGGAAAGCAGCATCCTGCACCCATCACCCAGGGGTTCAAGCGATGCTGGTGAGGGCCTCTGCACACCCAGCCACCCCTGCTCACCCCAAAACAAGCTCTGGAGTGAGCCACAGGCTCTCCCAGAGGAATTTCTGAGCAGGGAGCATCCTGTGGTGCATCCCTCCGGCCAGGACCTCCTTCCATCTGTGGCCAAAAGCAAAGGGCTTCCCCAGAGTCTTTCACCTGCTGGAGGACCCTTCCCATGGGCTGAAGGGAAGGTGTTTGTGGGAGCTCGTTAAAACACTGGCACCACCACTGTTTGTATAACAGCAGGTGTCCTAGAGATGAATGGAAGAGGTGGGGGTTCCCCTACCCCACCGAACCCCCTCTGCCAGGAGGTCACCATGTTAAATAGTTGGCACTGGGTTTTCGGGAGCAGCCAGATAATTTTAGGGCCCGTAACCAGAGGTGGCACCAGGCGGTAAAGCGAGGGTAATGAGATCTCATGCTCCAGGGAGTACGGCGAGGAGGGAGGGAGGGGGGGGTGAGGGAGCCCCCACCCCGACGGACAGCGCTGCACATTTGGCTGGGGGCTCTCGGCGCTGCTCGCCTGCCTCCAAAGCCACCGCCACGGGCAGGACACGGGGCTGGCTCCGGCAATTAGCTCCTTCCAAACGTCAGCTCCCATGTTTGTTAGTCTCTGACGGTTACTCCTGCCACGGGGACCCCCGCCTCTCCTCCACAGCAGCAAGGCCTGGCCCCCCGCGGGGCTGGCAGAGCTGCCCTGTGTCCTGCTGCTGGCAGCAGAATCACAGAATCTTCTAGGTTGGAAGGGACCTTAAAGATCATCTTGTCCAACCGTCAACCTCACTGACAAAAATAGACACCCACACAACAAACAAGGAGCAGCATCACTAAACCAGACCTCCCAGCACTACATCAACCTGTCTTTTGAACACCTCCAGGGATGGGGCCTCAACCACCTCCCTGGGCAGCCCATTCAGGGGTGAGACACACAGTGCTGGGGGTGGCAGGCGGGTGGCCAGCACCCTGGGGGGCACTGAAGCCCACCCAGCATGGGGAGCAGCGCAGGGTCCCACACTCACGGTGTCACCCAGTGAGGGGTCTGGAGCACAAGTCTTGTGAGGAGCAGCTGAGGGAGCTGGGGGTGTTCAGCCTGGAGAAAAGGAGGCTGAGGGGAGACCTTCTCGCTCTCTGCAACTCCCTGAAAGGAGGGTGTAGCCAGGGCGGGGTCGGTCTCTTCTCCAAGTCACAGTTGACAGGATGAGGAAACGGCCTCAAGTTGCCCCAGGGAAGGTCTAGGATGGATATTGGGAAAATACAAGGAAAGGTTTGTCAAACATTGGACCAGGTTGTCCAGGGCAGTGGTGGAGTCACCATCCCTGGAGGTATTTAAAGGCTGGGCAGACGTGGTGCTGAGGGACATGGGTCAGTGGTGGGTTTGCCAGTGTTGGGTTGATGGTTGGACTCGACGATCTGAGAGGTCCCTTCCAATTGCAACAATTCAATGATTCAATGATCACATATGGAGTTCAGAACGAAACAGTCTTTACCCAGAGGTGGCTCACTGCCCACTCACCTTCTTCTTGACAGCCAGGGGTTGGTCTGGGACAGCGCTGCACATTTGGCTGGGGGCTCTCGGCGCTGCTCGCCTGCCTCCAAAGCCACCGCCACGGGCAGGACACGGGGCTGGCTCCGGCAATTAGCTCCTTCCAAACGTCAGCTCCCATGTTTGTTAGTCTCTGACGGTTACTCCTGCCACGGGGACCCCCGCCTCTCCTCCACAGCAGCAAGGCCTGGCCCCCCGCGGGGCTGGCAGAGCTGCCCTGTGTCCTGCTGCTGGCAGCAGAATCACAGAATCACAGAGTCTTCTAGGTTGGAAGGGACCTTAAAGATCATCTTGTCCAACCGTCAACCTCACTGACAAAAATAGACACCCACACAACAAACAAGGAGCATCATCACTAAACCAGACCTCCCAGCACTACATCAACCTGTCTTTTGAACACCTCCAGGGATGGGGCCTCAACCACCTCCCTGGGCAGCCCATTCAGGGGTGAGACACGAGGAGCTGGGGGTGGCAGGCGGGTGGCCAGCACCCTGGGGGGCACTGAAGCCCACCCAGCATGGGGAGCAGCGCAGGGTCCCACGCTCATGGTGTCACCCAGTGAGGGGTCTGGAGCACAAGTCTTGTGAGGAGCAGCTGAGGGAGCTGGGGGTGTTCAGCCTGGAGAAAAGGAGGCTGAGGGGAGACCTTCTCGCTCTCTCCAACTCCCTGAAACGAGGGGGTAGCCAGGGGGAATCGGTCTCTTCTCCAAGTCACAGTTGACAGGATGAGGAAATGGCCTCAAGTTGCACCAGGGGAGGTCTAGGATGGATATTGGGAAAATACAGGGAAAGGTTTGTCAAACATTGGACCAGGGCAGCGGTGGAGTCACCATCCCTGGAGGTATTTAAAGGCCAGGCAGAGGTGGTGCTGAGGGACATGGGTTAGTGGTGGGTTTGCCAGTGTGGGGTTGATGGTTGGACTCAATGATCTGAGAGGTCCCTTCGAGAGGTCCCTTCCAATTGCAACAATTCAATGATTCAATGATCACATATGGAGTTCAGAACGAAACAGTCTTTACCCAGAGGTGGCTCACTGCCCACTCACCTTCTTCTTGACAGCCAGGGGTTGGTTCACAACAATTCAATGATTCTGTGATCACATATGGAGTTCAGAATGAAACAGTTTTTACCCAGAAGTGGCTCCCTGCCCGCTCACCTTCTTCTTGACAGCCAGGGGTTGGTCTGTAGCCAGAATCACCAGGAGCTTCTGCAGCGCGCCGCCCTCGATGGCTTCTACCTGGACTTTGGGGTTGCTGCAGGGACAAAAGCAAAAGGCAGGTCACCAAAGGAGTGGGGCACAGCAGGGTGGGACAGACCCAGGGTCTGTGGGGGGCAGCACCCCACAGCGGACACGAACGAGAGTAGATCCAGCCTGATCCTAGAGTAACCCCACAGCTCCCACCAACCACGGACAGCCAGAAGCTGTGAGCCCTGTGGGCCACCCCAAGTGGACCGTGCCGAGGTCCTCAAGGGTCCGTACTGGGACCGATACTGTTTAACATTTTTATCAATGATATAGACAGAGGGATTAAAGGCACCGTCAGCAAGTTTGCAGATGACACCAAGCTGTGTGGTGTTGTCGATGCACCTGAGGGATGGGATGTCATCCAAAAAGACCTGGACAGGCTGGAGAGGTGGGCCCAGGTGAACCTCATGAGGTTCAACAAGAGCAAGTGCAGGGTTCTGCACCTGGGCCGGAACAATCCTCACCATCAGTACAGACTGGGGGGTGAGGTATCAGAAAGCAGCCCTGAGGAAAGGGATTTGGGGGTGCTGGTGGAGGAGAAGCTGGACATGAGCAGGCAGTGGGCACCTGCAGCCCAGAAGGCCAATCCCATCCTGGGCTGCATCAATAGAAGTGTTGCCAGCAGGTCCAGAGAGGGGATTCTGCCGCTTTACTCTGCGATGGTGAGACCTCACCTGGAGTATTGTGTGCAGGTCTGGAGCCCTCAGTATAGGAAGGACATGGACCTGATGGAGAGGGTCCAGAGGAGGGCCACAAGGATGATCAGGGGGATGGAGCACCTCTGCTACGAGGACAGGCTGAGGGAGCTGGGGTTGTTCAGCCTGGAGGAGGCTCCAGGGAGACCTAATAGCAGCCTTCCAGTACCTGAGGGGGCTACAGGAAGGCTGGGGAGAACCTGTTTAGAAAGGCCTGCAGTGACAGGATGAGGGGCAATGGCTTCAAGCTGGAGGGGAGCAGATTTAGATTGGAGATGAGGAGAGGGTTCTTCACTGTGAGGGTGGTGGAGCACTGGAACAGGTTGCCCAGGGAGGTGGTTGAGGCCCCTTCCCTGGAGATATTCAAGGAGAGGCTCGATGAGGCCCTGGGCAACCTGGTCTAGTTGGGGGTGTCCCTGCTGACTGCGGGGGGGTCAGACTAGATGGCCTTGAAGGTCCCTTCCGGCCTGGACCATTCTATGACTCTATAAGCCATCTGTGGCCACGTCCTACCTGTCTTCCCCTGGCAACGAGCCCTCCCCTGTGCTTCCCTCGCAGCCATTAATCCTCTCGCTTTGCATCACATCTATTCCTTAACAGCCTTTAATTTTGACTCTCGCTTCCCCCTCTCGCCCGCTCCTCACCTTCTGTTAATTCCCTGATTTATTTAAAAGCTCCTGTGCTGCAGCTCACCTGCAGGAAGGTCCTGCTTGTCCCCGGAGCCTCTGAATCACAAATTACCCCTGGTCCCACCACCCACACGCCTCTCACACCCGGTGCTTTTCTCCAAGCCCTACAAATGGCTAAACCCATCCCTCCGGGCGCGAGGACCAGGCTAAAGCCTCAGGTCTGGCTGTGAGGAGCTGCCCCAGGTGCAGGCAGCTGAAGACAAGCCCTGCCCTCCATCCATGTTGCCCCCCGGGTACCAGCTGCCCCGGGCAGGGGCACCTCAGCCACATGGACACTTTGCAAACCCATTTCTGGTCCGTCTCTGAAGGTGGGGGGGAGGTTGGATGCTCCCATCTCCCTCCCTGGCAGGGCTGTCGCTGTCGGAGCACAAGGTATGGGCTGTCTGCATCCCGGATCCCTGGGCTCCCAGGAAGAGCTCCAGCCTTTGCTCCCCTTTGAAGCAGCAATTGCACCAGGGCCAGAGAAAGGTCACACGTCTCTGCTATGGCAAAACACCCACAAGCTCCTACCGCGACCAGAAAGCTGCTGGAGCAGCCAGTGCCAAGCCATGTTCAAGAAATAAGAGAGAGAGAGGCAGACAGGGTCATCAAGAAACAGAACCAGAAGACAAATGGACTTGGGCAGGGAGCAGCTTTGAATTAAACCCGTGGCTCCAAGAAATAACAGCAAAACAATAAGCTCAGTGTCAACCAAGGTGCCGGGCAACCTCTCCAACCCTCCCTGCTCCATCCAGGCTTTGCTTCTCGTGCCATCAGGAGTCATCCACGGCTCAGAGGCATCGGATCTGGTGGGGGGGTTCCTGACTGCAATTACCAGGCTGACCTCAAGGCAGGAAAAGGGGGGGGTGGTGTTGAAAGCCACCTTTGATTTCTCCTTCCTCACTCTCTTGCTGCAGCAGGCACCCTGCCAAGGAGGGGGACATCTGTGACTTGCCCAAACAGGGTAAGAAGGGGAAAGAACAAACCCAGGGGTTTCAGGATCTTCCTGCAGAAGAGATTTTTGCAGTGTGGTCCATCCCTGCACCCACAGACCTGCACTGCGGCAGCCCCAGCATCCCTGGGAGCAAACCAGCTTCTGGGGGGTCCCCATCCCAGTGGGACCTGATGCACATTCCAAGATGTATTTATCCCCCATCCTCACCATGTCAACAGGCGCAGCACAGTCTTCTCCTGCAGCAACAGGATGTTATTTTCCACCTCAGGATGGTGGGAAATGACCCACGTGGCCAATCCCCTCTTCCTGCAGAGCGGTGACGGCACCTCTGCCGTCCTGGGCTCTGATTTTGGAGAGTCAGGAGTCAACTTGGGCAAACAGCATCAGCCCCAAAATTTTCAGCTGCCCCCAGGCACCTCCTGGATGAAGGTAATCTCCCCCTGAATGAGATCCCCCTCCCTCACCTCCATCCCTACCCACAGTCACATGGACAGCCAGGGTCCCTCCAGCACGGGGTCACTGCAGCACCACGGCGCCCTGCCCACCCTCAGCAACTCCTCCCAGGGGAAAAACAGACAGAGTACAAGGGTGGGATGGAGACAAACAGCTCCCAGAACAGCCAGGGGGTGGCTGCAGACCTGTCTCAGACACCCCAGCAGGTGGAAATGTGCTAAGGGTGGGCCTTGCCTCAAAAGATCCAGAGATGAGTAATATCTGCCCTACAGAAGTGAATGAACCTGCATCTCCTTTCGGTCCGGACAGATTTATAAGCCAGGCTTGTAATTAGACTCCCTTGGGAGTCCAGAGGCACAACACCCAGAAGGCAGCAAGGAAAGGGAGCAGTGAGAAGCAATACATGTCCCAGAGTCCCTGGACGTGCCTTGGCAGCGAGTTGGGCACAGCCAGCTCTCGAGCTGGGATGGCTGATCTCGGCCGTGCTCACCACAGCAGCATGGAACCTTCTCCTGCAGAGGCTGGGCAACGTGACCAGAGCTGCTGGGGCCCTGATCAAAGCCCTGTGCATCTCCCAAACCCACCCAGCTGCTCCAGGAGATGCACAGACACAGCCAGGCTGCAAACCAGGCAGGGCAGGGAATAGGAGGCTTTTTCCAGCTCTGTTTTTTGCAGCGACGACAGCTTTGGTCTCTGGTTTTGACTGCGTACGGTTGGGTTTTTGTGCTTGTTTCTTCGAGCTTTTCCAGGAGAAGACATGGCACATCATCCTCGATGCTGTCGGGCCCGTTGTCAACGCTGGGGCTCTGAGAATGGTGCCAACAAGAGGCAAAGAACCAGAACCCCAAGGAGGGGTCTGCATTTCCAGACTCCAAGGAGGAGCTGGCAACTCTGACACTCAGAAAACACAACTTTTGATCCAAAAACCCGACCAGATTTCACATGCAAGTCACTCCTGGAGACCAGAGTAAGGGCAGAAGAAGCTCGCAGGCAGGCACTTTTCTGAGCGTAACTGCTCTGAGACTGGAGACCTCTTAGTGCCATTCAAGGAAAACGCTAAGTTTGGGGCATCCAGGCTCTTTTGTCACATCTATCTAAAATAAATAATAAGAACTCTTACAGCAAGGGACACAACTGAAAAATTGGTATGCCTTTTAGTGCTTGGCTGGTCACCTGGAGGATTAGATCTAATTAAAACCTCTGAACCGTGGAGTTTTTGCCAAGGAGCACCTCTGGAGGTTCAGAAGCCCTCCTGGCTGGGAGGCGTGCTGCTCGCTTCTCAGGGCTTCTGTTGTTCAACGTCTCTACTATCAACAGTCCAGGCTTCACGCTAACAAAAAAAATCTCGTTTGAGGGTTTGGGAAACTCAGCCCAGATCTGTACAAATTACACTGTCAAGCTCAGGGAAAAGCAGCCCGAACAAAATAAATACAATGAGACAGAGTGCGGAGCGCTCGCCTGGGAAATGCAACTCATCTGCTAGGGGGTAAGGGGATGGTGGCACCAGCACGGAAACACAGGGACATGGAGCTCCAAGGCTGGGACAGCCAACACCACCACCCCGTGATGCTACAGCAACAGCAGAGACGTGGGTGCGCTCAACGGGTGGGATTAACCAGCCTCAAACCTGGTGAGGAACAGCCAGGAGGGGATGGGGACTCGACACAAGCACCGTGCTCAGGTTCAAGCATGTCCCGGTTTGAGGTAAAACCGGATCAATTTTGTGTTCTGTAACTTTGCATTTTAGTTAGGCCTTTTTTAACTCTCTGAAATTAATGGCATATTGTGGAGAAAACTGTTCCTTCTCAGAGTGATAAGACCAATGTTTGTGCTACGTGCCAGGGAATGGTGAGCAGAGAGGCCCTTGCTTATACTTATTGCTATAACAACCAAGGGCAGGTAAATTTGTTATTTGCCCCATTGGAGGGTCGGAAGCGGAAAAGCGTAGAGGGGTCCCACCTGTAGGGAGGAACGGACAGGAGGTGACCCCAAACTGACCAACAGGGTATTCCATCCCATCTGCCCCATGCTCAGTACAAAAGCTGAGGGATCAAAGGGTCAACTCTCTTCCTGCAATGGCCGACGTCCGAAGAGGACCCTGTCTGTTCATCTGCCTTTGATCCCGACCCATGTGTTCCTGACTCCAGAGCTGGAATCCTGCTCCTGTCCATCACCGAGTCCAGTCTGGGACTTTCCCTTGTGCCTGCTGGTGGTGTGATCATCATCCTGGGAGCTT